AAAAAGTATATCCAAACACACCGGCTATCACCATGGTCCGATACGAGAAATGTTACCCGTTGCGTTGCTGCATGGTGTTGAGGCACCTTCCAAGAAGAGCAAACGTATCAGCATTACGCCTTGCATTGTTACAGTGCACATACCATGCTTGGTACCATCCCATCCAATGCATCCACATCACCAGGAATGAGCAAGTTCAATGATGGCGACAATTCGTGAGGACCCTGCTTTAATCCATTAATCATCTTCCCATGATCCACTCCCTTGCATGCAGTATCACTGCTCTTTGTACATACCATCTCGAAAAAGTTGAAAGATCTTCCCATGCTCGGTTGTTGCTTTTGCATCACGTGATCCAATCGAGGGATAAAAGTTGCTGCTATTGAGTACAAGAAACACGCCTATTGAGCACACCAATGAACCCCTTTGCCGCACACATTTCACGTCATCTTGCTTACCTCATCACCAGTGCAACATTTGCCCTTCGTGAACAGAATCTCTTTCCACATTCCTCTCTCAATTCTGAAATTGTCGACATTCCTGGAACAGGAAAGCTGTAAAAACACACGCCTATCAGTATACACAACGAACAAAGGCAAGCCGGTTTTTACACTGTATTAACACGTTACATACCTTCGTTGACACCCATTTGCACATGTAGATGACTAATGAGGGGCTCCATGTCGAACCACGATTGTGCTCTTGTGAGGTCTGGGTAAGAAGCAGCAAGGAGAAGCTGAGTAGACAAATCACCCTTTTGGCACAAACACATGGAAATCAGCCACTGCCAGTGATACATGCATGCAACATACACACCGCTATCGCAGCCCACGCAACCAACCTCTCCATGGCAACATGCTTTACTATTGTTGCCTTTCAAGAGGTGCCCGAATGAATGATGGGGCAACCATCTATATAAGGTACAACATATAAAAGCAAGATTCCTAGACCGAGGATGAAACACGTTAGATAGCATGCAGGAGGATAATAGTATTATTGATATGGAAAGCTGTATAAATAAAAGGCAAACCTGGTAGTAATGGTGTTGTGTGTGTGTTCAATCTTGTTTCAAGTTGGGGTTGTTATTGTTGGTACTTCAATTGCAAGTTCTATAGGCTCGTGATCGTTATCAATAGTGATCGATTGCGCTTGCCTTTCTAATACAAGCAGCTCACGCTGCCGCTTCCGCTCTATTACAATATCAATGAGACGATCGGGAAAGAACAAAGACCACTTTTCATAGGGTATCATGTCTACAACATAAAGAGAGCCATAACTCAAAATGTCACAATGAAGCATGAGCTCTTTTTGGGACCAACGCGTTCATCCCAGCTCAAGCACCCTTGTTTGCCAGTTTGAGGATTGAACTCGTGAATGTCAAATTTGGCCATGTCACCACCCGCCAAAATGAAATCGGGTCGACCTCTTGAAACGTTTTGGCTGGGATCGCCAAATGCGAAAATTGCTATTGACGAGTTCGATCCTGAAACTTTCTCACAAGGTACTTTCGACCATGCTGAGCATGCTGGTTCCAAAAAGAGCCAATGCTTGATTGTGAGATTTCGAGTTACAGGTGCGTGTATGTTTTGCTATTATAAAGGTGGGTCTTTTTCCATTGTGACTGATATGTACATTTATAGTGAGATAGGTGCTAAGGACGGTGTTTGTATACGAAAGCGAAGAAAAAAGGATTAAAAGAGCAATGGATGATATGTGTACACTGTATCACGGCCATTCATACACTGCGAGCTATAAGCCAATTCCACCCAATTGAGCCCATTGTGGATTTGACAACGTGTGCTGAATGCGCCTGCTCCAAGGTTCCGTTCCATGGTTTAATTACATTGATTCGAGCCGATTTGGATGAGCTACGCTTAGACCAGCTTTTGTCTAATCCATACACCCGTGTATGTTCCATGTTGGAAGCGATATACGCCTTACTTGCTGTAATTTCCTCAAATCGGCTCGGATCAATCTAACGAAACCATCAAAGTGAATCTTTGGAGCAGGTGCATTTCTCATACGTTATCAAATCGATGATGGTCTTGATTGGGTGGAATTGGCTAATGGCTAGCACTGTATGAATGACTGTGACATGGCGTATACATATCATCCATTGCTCTTTTAATGCTGTTTTCTTTGCTTTCTTACCCAAACACGGCCTCGTGCATCTATTGCACTATAAGTGGTTATATGGATGACAATAGAAAAAGACGACTTTCTCATATAGCATCATGTCTACAGCGTAAAGAGAGCCATCCATCACTCGCAAGCTGCGAATGAAGCATGGGCTCTTTTTGCAACCACCGTGCTCAGCCCGGCTCACGAAACCTTGTGTGCCAGTTTCAGGATCGAACTCGTCAATCTCAAATTTGGCCATGTCACCACCCGCCAAAATGAAATCAGGTCGACCTCCAGAAACGTTTTGGCTGACAACAACAAATGCGGAAATTGCTATTGACGAGTTCGAGCTTAATACTTTCATACAAGATACTTTTGTCCATGCTCAGCATGCAGGTTCTATGAAAGACCTCATGTAGCATTATGAGATTTTGAGTAACCTCCAACTTTTGTAAATTGTGGGTACACGTTCGTAAAAGGAATGAAAGCAAGATGTAAATTTCTCCTTGCCTTAAACACACACATGTATGTACCCCCTACCACCATCACACCGCTTACCAGCAGACACTAAAGGTAGAGCCTATTCACCCACCTACTACACGTATTGCCAGTGCAACGTGTTAAGGAGACTTTGAATGAACACCTTTTTATTAATGAAGGCGCTCGATATATAAGAGAAGCCTATAGGCATATAAAAGAATCCTTTGTTTTATATATAAGGAGACATTTATTATGAAAAAGAAATGACTACTTGTGCCAATACTTAGCCCATCTCCATGGAGATGGTTTCCAGGTGTGACCACGTGGAGGTGATTGGCAATCCACACCCTAGTTTTTTGTCATTGCGGACTCTTCCTCAGGTTTGGCTGGGTCGAGTTGATTGGGGTACTAGTGTAAAGTGTTTCCGTGTTTCGTGACCTTGCAGTTTCGTACCCCTTTCGATTCGTGGGTGTCTTGCTGGTTTCGTGAGTACCCCGAATCCCCTCCCCCAGCTAACCTGGATACCGTGTTTCGTGACGCTTGTTTATAGGACCTAGCGAGCCATACTTGCGGTCTTGTCCGGGAATTCTATAGAGTGAAAGAAAGATACTTCGGAGCTGGGGGGAAAAGGGCTACTTTTTTATACCAAAGTGCACCTTAGACGCGTAAGCGTTTGTGTCACCCCAAACCTCACGCACTTTCCTTCTTTTTCTATAACATTCTTAAACCATTTACTCAAAAACACTCAATCCAGCCTGCTTTTTGCAATTAGAGAAACGTGCTCCTCTCATAGAGACCATTCGAATGGTATATTGTTTATCACGATTTAGTTTACTTTGGACATTTTGGATATTGCCATGGTCACATAGTACAATTTCCTTTTTGGATTAAGGTTACACAGCTCGGGCCGAGCTCTTTGGAATCACTGTTACAGGCCATATCGTGTTGATTTTCAAATAAAATGCCATTGGGATATTAGAAAAATGTGTTCTGCGCATCGAGACCATTCGAATGGTATATGGTTTGTGGTGTTTTCGCTTACTTTACCATTTTCGCATTGAGTATGGCAATATGGTTGCCATGGGATCGAAATTTCCTTTTTGGGATTCATGTTACGCCATTGAACCACAGTGCAGCAATTGATAGGAAGCAGCCCCAAACTTGTTCATTCTTACCATGGGTCTTCTCGATAAACTTCAGGTTAGCCCAGCTGAGAAATCAACCCCCTGACAAAACCATAACACATGCGTCTGCTCTCAACGAACGTGACACCTTGATCCTGCCAACGACCACCTCAAACAACAACCCTCGTCAAGTGTGGCGCCGTGCTGATAATCTAAATGCTATGCTATATCACCTTTCACCCTTTCAGCTTTCAGATGCCCAGTTTCGACTTGCTATAGGCAAGTCCCTTGTCAGCAAAGCTGCCCATGGTGTCATTGTACATCGCTCCCGGAAAGACGTTATTGCCGAAGTTGCATTCAACAGCCAAGAGGCTTGCCAAAAACACCTTGAAATCCCATTCTCTTAACGATGGCACCAAAGTTTATGGTTCTTTCCAATTCCTGACGAATGGGATGTTGTCAAACTGAATCTCCATCACATCTCTCTGTACACTTGTAACGGCCTCTCCTCCTCTCTCATAACAGCCCTTCGGCCTTTTGGACACATCGTCCAACTAGGCATTTACCTCGAACAAAATTTTTTCACCGGCAAAGGTTTTGCTTATATCAATGTTAACCCCAACGCAGATGCCAATTCAAAGAAAGCACTCCCTTTCATCCCCAACGAGCGGACTCATTGTATTACAATCTCACGTCAAGATGGATCCTTCCCTTCCCGTATGCATGCCACCTGATCCAAAATGCCACTGTATTGTCGCTATTGTCATCATCATCAAGATCACACAAGAATTCAATACCCAAACAAGCCTAAACCACGACGCCGTCATTGTCAAGAACGAGGCCACCTTCGTAAAGACTGCCCTATACACTGTGGTTCAGCACTCCTGCCTAATAACAACCCTGCTATCTCAGATTTTCTCGACAAGGAATCGCCTACTTTTCGAATGTCTAAATCTGGTATATCAATACGACAACGCACGCTATCACCTCCCCAGCAACTCCACTTTAATTTCAGCCCCAAGCTTTCAAAGACTAAAAAGACCGAATCTAATCCACTGACCACATCTGCGCCTCCTGACCCCGTCCTTATAGCCGACCCTCCCGACCACAATGTTACTAGCATCGAGATTTCTTCACCACCATCACCTTCTAGTGCAGCACACGCTGAGAATATGGTGACGTAAAAGTGTATTTACCAATTTGCAAGATTTGACATCATGTTTGTCGTACCTTAATCCTTTCGGAGATTAGCTCCAAGCTATTAGTTTTTTTTCTCTAAATGCGTCCACATGACGCGATAGACAATAAAACACTACAAATTGTTCATTTATAAGGTACCAAAAGTACCAGTGATAAAATTGCTATTAGTATATTGATAGCGCGCGAGTCAATAAGGCTTTGAAACAATCCTGCATACTTTGATCCATCATTCAATGCTATTTTTGGATACAAACTTACCGCAGCAACCACTATACCATAGCAACCATGTTGTCATGGAAACCACATTACCGCAGCAATCTGTCAATCTATTTTCGGAACAATGGAAGTCTCGGCGTCTTTTCCATACTTCATCCATCCCCAAGTGATCATTCATGCACAATCACATGCAGCTGTCATCTTTGACACCTTTCCATCACATCATCTTCTTACGCTTTTCTCAATACACCCGTAGAATAGAAACACCCTTAAACCAATTGTATCTCTCCACTTTGTATCATTGTTAGATTAGCAACTCCCCCACATTGTTGTATCCCCCATCTTTGCATCCATTTTTACCCATGCACCAATGATGTGCATCGTTTCATCTTCATTTCCTTTTTACTTTTTCATGCAACAGCTACACCATCATCCATTGTGCATTACTGCGGCAATCACATGAAGGATCAGGCACGCGTTGTTTCCATGCGAACATTCTAAGAATTTCATGTCAAAAGATATATAAATTCCCACGATGAAGTGAATAAATCTTCATCCAATTGCTCACTTTTGCTTTCAACTGAATCTCTGTCTAAAGTCCTCACAAGCCAAAAGAGCTGTTAGAAGCACATCTATCGTTGAATCTTCATTACATCTTTTGTTATCCAAATCAACTTGCATCTTACTTTAGCCTGTTTTGGCCCTATTACCGATTACTTTGGTGATCCCATCTTCTCAAATCTTAGCCTGTCTCGTCATCATCATCTTTACTCTTTCAATCTTTGCTATCGCAAGCCTCTATTATTCTTGCTTCAGCCTGTCCCGGCATCCCAATTACCCTCATCTTCATTTTATACTTTTATACGAAGTATCTGGTGCTCACTACTCAATCTCCCTATAACCATGTTGTTCCACTTGTAAACCCTCCACTCCCTTTCACCTGTCATTGCACTCCCTCTCACTTTACCCATATCATTGTACTTCCCTTCTCTACCCTACCATTGTATTTGCCTTCTCTACCCGTATCATTGTATATCCCCACTTTACCCTTTTTCCCCATCCATTACCTTACACAAACCTTTACCTTACATGCGGTGCTCATTTCAAGGCCACTTCCAAAACCCAACTTTCTAGTCCCTACACAAAACATTGCCCTTACACATTCTTAAGTAAAGTTCGTTTGGGGCATTAAAAAACGTGTTTTTAAGGAGACAAGTCCACGGATATGCTGTTTGTATAGGTTCGAAGCATCTGACGTTTGTGTTGCTGGGACACCACGCGATGTCATTGGTTCACCATTAATGTCTCCTCCATTTGCTTAACGTGGAATAGTGTCTGGGTCGCATTACCTAACCAGCGACAGAGATGCCATGAGCGTTATCCACCATAACCATTTTAAGTACAACTACTTGGACTGGACGATCCTTCAATAGAGCAACGGCTCCTTCAGGCACATCATAAGGGTCTCAATTCAAGTCGAGGTAGGTACGAGAAGGGCATCCTTTTGCAATCATTCCGATAATCGAAACGTAATCCTGGCATCTCGAATGTTGGTATTACCACCATGTCCAAGTTTTGTAACTCTTTTTTAGCACACGCTCAAGGCGCTTTGCAGGTGATCTCATCAAATTCAATATTCAGGTGCTTGAAGAATGGATTCATGACGATGATAATGTAAAGCTTTTGTGTTGCCCACGTTCCATTTGAACCGATTCAGTAATAGAATGACTCAATAATGATGATACTCATAGACAAATGGTTTTGTAAGCATCATGTACAGCCCATTCAAATTGTGTACACTGCTTTTATACCGATTGACGTCATGGGAAGTTAAAGATGAGGGTACATAGGCACTCAAGACATTTGGCTATACAAAATTGCAATAATAAAGCTTCAATCCTTAAATGTATCACGGTGCAACGAATATTGTGAGGGATATCAAAGAGGTTTATTCTATCGTTCATGGGAATGAAAATCCTGGAGGGCCTTAAATAAGAGTGTACGTAATCTAAGGGATCAAAAGCGTGTGAAACGTGCATCTACTATAACCTCCAAGTCAGGCCTTTGGGTCTTGAGGTATCGAATCATATCTATGTTGACTTCATTTCCAGGGTAAATCCGAATACATTCCAGCTGTGATAACTCTTCGATCGCTTTCCAGAAATCGTCATCGTCGCTGGCGTTTTCGACTGAAAAATTAAACTGCTTGAAACCTTCAAGTTGCTTCAAAGCCTTGATGGAATCAATCGATGGCGCATTGGAGTACTGTATCTCAAGGCATGCTAAGCGAGGACATCCTTCAGCAAGCCCATCAAAGAACCATTCCATATCATATTGGTCCCAATCAAAGTACGTAGTAAAATAGAGCATCAAGCGCTGTAGGTGATCAAGGCTAGGGATAGCATCCAACACCGATTCGATGTTGTCCACATCTATGCAGCGGATATCAAGTTCACAAAATGCTGATTGCTGATTCATGCGAGAGAGATAGTTCACGAGTATTGAGGGGTCTTCAAGTCCTTTTTCACGATCAAGATCCAACACGAGTTTCTTCACATTGGGTTGTATGATATGAAGGACTTGAGGGCATTTGTTGATCATGATCCACGATATTGTCAATTCCTCAAGACGTGGTGCATTGCCTGGTACCCACCATCCAGATTGGACGAGGGAGAGCTTCTTTAGGCGTGGGTATTGGATATCATGCGTATGTTCGACGTCGCTGCCATGGTATATTTCCCATCTCATATTCTCGAGTGTCGTGTGGTGCTGATTTAGAAAAGAATCGATGGTCGTCAATGTGCCAGGTTCCTCACAATACTCCGTGACAAAAAATTCGGTGATCCCATGCTGCTTGTTGTTGTCATATCCTTGATTCGTAAATTCACAATTGATACCCATATGATGAGCGGCAAGTCGAAGGTATTTCATCCAGGGGTAATAGTGCGAGACTAAATGAACCGCCTCAATGTCTTCGCAAGGGTGAAGTTCAAGCGTCGTGAGGGATGGAAACCGTTTACAAATGCCAATGATATCATCACGAGTAATCTCCTTATCTGCCCTGTAAATGGTGAATGTCGTCAACTTTGGCCATGTTGCGATTGGAAGTGCACTGAGATCCGCATGACCTTTGAACTTTATCCGGAGCGAAACGAGATTCGGAAAAGTCAATATGACCTTAGGTATAGAGAGTCGCATGGGCGGGTATATGGCACCGATATCAAAATGCGTCAAGGTGTTGCTAACTGATTTGAGGGAAGAGACAAAGTCCTCAATGCTACCCTCCTCGATACGTTCTATATAAGGAAAGCACATGTAAGTAAAGGGGAGCCCAAAGGATGAGATGCAACAATAACTTACCCACAACGGATAACTTTCGCAATGAGCAATAGTCATTCTCTCGTAATAAATCACCAAGCCATGTTCCTTGATCATTGTGGTAAACCGTTAATGACCTTGTATGCTGAGCGAATTGGGTGATTTCTGAAAGCGTTTCCTGTCCTGGTTCTTCTTTAATATCATCAAGCTTGAACCACAATCCATCGAAACATTGAATGATGCGATCGCGCCATACATTGGATACATGCAAATAAGGGGATGGATATAATGGATCCAAAGGAAACGAACTCAACAAGGGAATCAAGAGGGGAATGAGCTTTGTAATAACAATGTCGACAGGTAGCTCCTTCACGAAATCAATCCGTTTTTCCAGATGTTGCTCAGCATCAGCCTTCATTTGCTGCAATGTATCATAATGCGTATCATTGGTATCGACCATACTGAGTCCTTCGTCGCAAATATCAATAACGTCAAGCTGTTGACCAAGTTCACTGTAAATGCTGGCTTCGCGTATGTATGCGAGAGGTGAAGAAGACGAGAGTTGCTGCATAAGTTTGACATCGCGAAGAGCAGCATCAAACTTGGCACACTTTGTGAACCCAATTGCACGTAGATTCAGAGCTGACAAGATGGGGTCGAGGGATGCATGGAGTTGTGTGGTTGCATCGTAAACAAGCTGTGCATATTTTTCAGAGGATGGTGTGAGTATGGGGGAGTATGGCATTGTAAGGGAAGAGCAGTAAAAGATGGAGAGTGTGGGCTGAGCCATGGCAACCAATAAAAACCTTCCAAGCCCAGGTCCCAGCATAAAAGTTATGGGCCCCGAGTGCTCCCCACTCAGCCCCTCTCTTTATGCTACGCTTTATTTTTACTCGTTGCCAGCATTCGAAACTCGTCATCTACTGTCACAATGGAATTCGTCTCCTTGGTTACGCGTCATCCCTACGACAACGCCTCTTTGTAGCTTTGTCATCACCACGCGAAACAACTTGTTACCTTGACAATGACCCCTCCACTAAAAAACAATCGCTGTCGACTCATCTTGCTGAACATCTTGGTGGCAATCTTGCACAGCTTGGATAGTACAAAGACACCCAACACGTCAATAGCTTGCAAACGTGCCGTCAACAAACCAATCGGTTCATCATCCAAAGGTACATCTTTGTATGGTTTTATTTGTTACGAGGTACTAATCATCATCTCCAGCATGTATCCTTCAAAGCACTCACCTTCAACGTATGCTGCTACATTTTTGAATGTTTTTCCAACGACCTCAACGATAAGGATTGCACGCTGTACGGCGCATGCGTTTTATGATGTTCCAGTATCAACTCATCTACACCTCGTATTCGGTTATCACATTGTCGAATGGTACCATTATGCACCAGGTTTACGTAAGCGATACATGGATGGTCGGTAATCCTTTGGGATAATGGCGTAAGTATGGATGATGGATCAATCGGGTATGGTTACTGACAGAGGTTCAGGATTTTAGTATGTATAGGCTGGAAGCTCACGTATGCTGAAGGAATCATAATGGATATGGTAAGAGCTCTGCGAGCTATAATAGAGGCCTCCCCTTGTGATTGGTAGCTGGATGGGCTAGGATAGCTTTATGATTCATGAAAATAAAGATGGTCATCGTACTATTGTGAAGGATAACGCGATTACTGGTATTAGTTCGTGAGGGACATTGTAAGGATCATCATCCGTACTATCGTCGATGCTTAGTCACGTATTTCATCATTATCTTTATTCTTGGCGTTGCTCTCATTCACCATAAACAAGCTATCATCGTTCTTGAATAAACCTGCATTCGGATTATCTTCTATCTTTATCCTCGGGACTTGTTTAGCCTTAGCTTTCGTGTCTTTCTCATTGGATCGTTGTCTTTTCTTGTAGCTTTACATGACCTTGCGTATACATGTTGTGATCGTGTACCTTTCTATTATCAACTCATTCTTGCTATACTTATTTTTGGACCTTAGCTTTGATGGATGCACTTGTTCCCCATCTATTTGGCATTAGCGTTCTTTTCTCGATTCATCCAAAAATCTATGCTTTAGTTCCAGGATACGTGTGCACAATCACGTATAAGACATCTTTCATTTCATGCATCTTCAACATCCCTACTTAGATACATTGGTACGACGGTGATGAGAGCTGGTAAATTAGATGATCACTTAAGTGATCCAATACACGTGGCGGCTGGCTCGTACAATTACATTGTTTTCTTTTTCTTTGAACATAGTGAAGCCTTGTCAATAAGATGTGAGTAGATGAATGTCCCTTGGTGTGGTGGATAGGTTGAAGAAGGCAAAGGTTGAATCATCATATCTTTGGATGCTGTGTAACCTCAGTAGATGTGTGATCTCAGACGATAAAATCGTACACACCTCAGCCCTATCCTGGATAAAAAGAAATGGGTGTTTGGTTCTATGATTACTTTGAGTCTGAAGGTTGACCGTATCATCAATCCTCGTTTGTTGCCTATTCATGCAGTAAAAGAATGGTGACACAAGGATGCAACGCGTCGCACTGATATTGTAAAAGGCTGTTGTAGCACGAATATCATCTCGTAGACCCAAGTTGAAACAGCAACATCCTGTGGTGTATCTCCCTCTATTTATCTTCATTTCTAATCATGCTGGATGGATCCATTATATGAAGCAAGCCATCCGATCGTCTTTATTGATTGGATGGCAATGATGTTGATGCATTCTGGCGGGTTTTCGCAAATTGTTAAGACGCCCTTAAATTAGGCTGCGTACCTTTGTCTCCCTCGTTATTTCCATCCACTTCACCAACCCTCCCAGCAGCAGCTTCTTCCACGTATCTTAAAAACCTTTACGATTCAACACCCCAATGCCAACATTCCACGCATTCCTCCTTGTCAGCTGCGAACCAATTCGGCATCGGTGGACCTCCATGCACCAACATTAGTTTGCCCTTCCACAATGCCAAGCACATGTCACAACACTCGCCATGCACAACACTTGGATAGGCTTGTGGAGCTAGCGTTGCCTATGGATAAGGTAACCAGTACAATGTTATCCATATTTGTAAGCAGCCTCTCATTGTTGTTGTTGTCAAGGATACGATAACGCCACGCTGCAACAAGCCAAGCTGGATGGCAAACACCCCTGCAGCACATACATTGACTCTATCAGACAACTTCGTTGCAACCTCGTTATGGGTACCCTTGTTCCCATGGTTATGAATGATGATTTGCCATTTCATACCAATACCCCATATACGTGCACGTGTATGTGTCTTTTTGTTGGGCGATCGTAGCGATGGTTTACGCTATATGGACGACTATGATCAAGTTACCCATTATTGAAGGAATTGGACTGCTCATCCTGCTTCACCAATCTACAAAGATGTTGATGATGATATTGGAAGAATATGGCTGAATGGCTTAAGCTGGTTACAGGAGCTGGACATCAATGGTAAAGTGGACAACACCTTAGCTATTCTTTTATTGACCATGGTCTTGATTAGGAATTGCGAATACTCATTGTATGAGTCGTATTCGTCTTCAACATTTTCAAGATTTCACCGTCACTCACTGCTGATGTATTGTGCTGTCATTTGAATCCTACCATGACGCTCCCAGACCTCTCTCGATCTCTCTCTCGCCATCAACCCGGGTTATCTTAAGGACGATGGCTATGATTCAAGAAGGAGACAAGTTCAGTAGCGATCGAATGGTAGGGGTCTTGAAGGGATCATCATGATACAAAGCACTTACACATTGACCAGGGGTTGGCGTGTAATATACATTCGCAGTGTCCGTATCAGGAGTCTTTCACGTTTGGGAGATATGAAGGTGTGCACCATACCCGTAAGGATACAGGGCATGCATGGGAAAACAAGGCAGCATGATTGTACAGTGGTATGTATTGCGTTCGATCGAGAAACTGCGACATGTTAATTAATGAGCCTTAGAATAGAACAGCAACAGGACATTACGCATAGCATTGCGATGTGGATCTTATTTGATGGGAGGATGCTATTGAAAAATACCACAAGGTAAGAGTGTTCATTACGGGATGGGTTGCATGCAAACCCACTTACAATGGAGAAATAAAATAACAGGATCATGAAGTCTTTTTCTTGGTTATATCATTTGCCATGGCAGAATACGTCAGTGGAGATCTGGAATACACCATTTGAGAAGTGGAATACGCCATTGGAGAAGTGGAACACGCTATCTGGGAAATGGAACAAGCCATTTGAGAAGTGGAACAGGCTACGTGAGAAGTGGAACAAGCTATATGGGATGTGGAATACGCCATTGGAGAAGTGGAACAAGCTGCTTGAAAAGTGGAACACGCCATTTATAGAACTGGAATACGCCGTTGGAGATGTGGGAAACACCGTTCGGGATGTGGAATACGCATTGGAGAAGTGGAACAAGCTATTTGAGAAGTGGAACAAGCCATTTGAGATGTGAATACGCCATTTGAGAAGTAGAACAAGCCATTGGAGAAGTGGAACAAGCCATTTCAGAAGTGGAACAAGCCATTTGAGAAGTGGAACAGGCTACGTGAGAAGTGGAACAAGCTACGTGAGAAGTGGAACAAGCTATTTGAGAAATGGGATATGCCATTGGCGAAGTGGAACAAGCTATTTGAGAAACGGAATACGCCATTGGAGAAGTGGAACAAGCCATTTAAAAAAGTGGAACAGCCTATTTGATATGTGGAATACGCCGTTCGAGAAGTGGAACAAGCAACTTTAGAGGTTGAGTACGCCATTGAAGAAGTGGAACAAGCTACTTTAGACGTGGAGCAAGCCATTTGAGAAGTGGAGCAACCTATTTGAGATGTGGAACAAGCTACTGTGAAGTGGTACACGACATTTGAGAAGTGGAACAAGTCATTTGCGAAAGTAGAACAAGTCAATTGCGAAAGTGGACCAAGCTACTTAAGAAGTGGAACACGCCATTTGAGATGTGGAACAAGCAACTTTGCAAGTGGAATACGCCATTGAAGTAGGGGAACAAGCTGGTTGTGAAGTGGGATACGCCATTTGATAAGTGGCACATGTCATTTGAAAAGTGGAACAAGCTATTTGAGAAGTGGAACAAGCGACTTGAGAAGTTGAACAAGCCATTGGAGAAGTGGGACACACTACTCGAGATTCATGGTGATCGGTTTCTTGTCGTGCATATGGATCGGTTAAGGTACACATCGTGTATTCATCGTCATCATCGTTATCATTGTATACACAAAACACAAGCACATAAGCATACAAGAGATGATACACAAGCGTGGAGCATCATATACAACTCAGCCCGTTACTCATTTACGATATACCTTGTTATTGGTAGAAAAGCTTTACTCTTTAGCATCCACCTAGTTATAGTACTCAGAGGTAGCAGGTAGATCGATAGAAAGACGTCTCTTTTCCCAGACACACACTTTCAGAGTAAACAGCAATCTCACAGACCTTGTTTGTTATACGTTTTATTATCCTCACACACATACACATACACACATACATCTCATGCCCATCCCCATCACCCATACATGATCCTCTTTCTCCCCTCTTCTTTTTTCTTCACATCCCCTCTTGTTGACTACCCATTCACCTACCTGTCAAAAGAAACTTACCTTTGAAGGCCGTCGGAGAAGTAGATCCTTCAGTGAAAGAAAGAAACTTTGGAGTTGGGGAAAAAGGTCTTCTATTTTATAGCCAAGCGCGTTCCCCACAGCATCGTAGACGTGTAAGCATTCGTGTCACCTGAAACCTCACGTGCTTTCCTTCTTTTGTCGATAATCTTCGTATCCCATTTACTCAAAACGTTTCAATTCAACCTGCTTTTTGCTACTAGAAAAACCTGTTCCTCGCATCGAGACGATTCCAACGATGTATTGTCTGTGATGGTTTTGTTTACTTTTGTCAAGTTGAACATTGCCATGGTCATGTAGTACAATTTCCTTTTTGGATTGAGGTTGCACAGCTCGGGCCGAGCTCTTTCGAATCACTACTACAGGCCATAGCGTGTTGATTTTCAATTAAAATGCCATTGGGCTATTAGAAAAATGTGTTCCGCGCATCGAGAGGATTCGAATAATATATGGTTTGTGATGTTTTGGCTTGCTTTACCATTTACAGCATTTAGTATGGCAACACCGGTTGCCATGGGACCGAAATAGCCTTTTTTGGATTCATGTTACACCACTCAAACACAGTGCAGCAATTCATAGGAAGCAGTCCGAAGCTTGTTGATTTTCAAGTAAAGTTTGTTTGGAGGATTAGATAAACGTGTTCTTCTCAGCAAAAGTCTTACTGCGCACCACCACGTCGTCAATGGAAACCATGAGATACACGTTGATAGCATCTTTAAAAACCATGTCCATCACACTTTGCCATGCGCCTGGGCCAACGCCATTGTGAGTATCCTCCGCAGTTTACCACAAAGCCCGCCAGGTCCCTTGATTCCTCGTGTAGCGGCAGCTGCCAAAACCCTTTCAAAGCATCCATGATTGTAGAATACTTTTTATCACCCAATCCTGTGAAGAGGTCATGCATGCTGGGTATTGGATATCCACTATCAATCGTGGCAGCTTTCACAGGTTTGCAGTTGAATACCAATCCATAGGTATCCTTGGCTCCAGCTTGAGTAAGTTTTTTTTTTTGTATTCTAATGGCTTTTATTTAGGGGATATCTTACCCCATAATAAATTCTACTGTATCCAACTGAAGCGGGGGGACAAGAGTGGGGTGTCTCGCAATGAGTGAATCAAGGTATTCATACGCCGAGGAGTGATTCCAAGGAATCTCTTGCAGAAGACATTGCCAATGCATAGCCCAAATGGTTTGGAGGATAAGGCCTAACCGGTCTTGGTAAACAAAACAAAAGCTGGTTGGATGTTGTGGTTGTAAGAGGATAGCGTGCCATGCCATCTCTGCTGTAACGTTTGAGGGAGCTTGAATGAGTACTAAGGCATCGATCCATAATACTCGTTTAAAGGGACAATCCAAAACCATATGTCGAATGGTTTCGACTTCGCCAAAGCATAGCTGACAAAGCAGGGTAGGGTGTTTTACCGGCATGAGACGATTCATATGTTGTGTGGTCGAGATGTGATGATGAAGAATACCCCACCAAATGGTACGAGATCCATGTGGTATACGTAGTCTCCAAAATCGTTTCTATTGGGAAGGCATAATAGGCGTGACATTGTTGGAAGGGGATGTTGTGAGGCGCCAAAAGACTCGCAAGTGGCTCGGTCCAGCTTTGGTAACTGCAATGGGAGTGGAACGTGAAGAGGTGGAGCATGTCGTGGAAGGTAAACACTAAGAACTCAAATGAGGTAGTAGGTGATTGGAGCTAAGTGTGGTGCCGGTGTTGATGTATAATTGCAGTGTCGGATGTAGAGTCATGGTGCCTGGTTCAAGAGCTTTGAGAACACGTGCTATCGCCTTGCGAGATCTTGTAGCCCATGTAAGGGATAAACGGTGAAAGCGTGGTAACCAATGGTAAAGATTAGACCAGCTCGAGAAGGTGGGGCAGCACATTTAAAAAAAATCAACATCTTGACCATTGGCGTCACGACCTTGTTGTGATGGTTCTTTTCCAGGTGGTAAATTGTACCATGCCTCGTTTGGTAGATCCAAATCCTTTTCCCCTTTCGATTCATTGCTTCAATCGGATTTGATATTGACAACCCCAACAGGATCAACCTTCCCATGACGAGTGCTTAACCTTGGCTCCTTCCTCAAGGGCCTAACCTTGCATCTTGATCTTGCAATTTTTTTCAGCATCGGATGGAATAAGGAGGGTATCTGCAGCCCAAGGACCATTGCAGCTTTCGATGAACCCCAATTCTTCTAGCTAAGACAAATACTGCTTAAGCCAATCATTCGCATCTCGTGGTGTGATGAAGGACGATGAAGGACACGTGACTACACAGCGCGGCATGAAGAGACCCGCTCCTAAGAACCCACCTGACACAACCAATATGACACAAAGTACAAGTACCACCTCCCCTCTCCCATACAAACCTTATCAACAATCATATAAATATCCCATGTAGTGAATAAAGAATCCTTAGTGAGCTTCCTGATACTTTTGAGCAGCCGTTGTGTGAGCCTTGCCTGTGAGTGTGTGTGTGTGCTTTTTCAATAGATAGTGTGCTTATGCTTTTATGTTGCATCCCTTTAGCCATATCCTAGTTCTCTACCACATTTGTGCCTTCTCTCTCCCATTTGTCCTATTTCTCGATTGTATTTCTTTTTGAGCTTTTGTCTTTTGAGACATCCCTTGTATCTCTATTTGCAGCAGTAGACCATTCGTTACGTATTATTACATACATGGCTTCTTATTTGGACACCTCGACTCACATGGCGGGGTATACAGATATAAGCCTTGCTGCTGATCCTCGTCCGGTTTATTCATTTCATGGTGGAATAGCCGTGTACCAGCAAAGACAGTCGAATCATCCTACAAGTATCTATCAATATCAAGAGTATCCGCCTCAATTTCCACCTCAGCCCAGTGTACCAGCAAACGAGCCTCCTTGCCGTCCTTGGTCACAAGGTGTTTCCCATTTCCCTCCAATGTACAATCCATATCATTGTCCAGTGAAACAACCCCAACAATACATGATCCCTGGGTATACCACACCTCATCCTCTTCCCATTTGCTAGTTTTCGGGAGAAGGAGTGCATGAAGATCCGGTGGCGTTTCTAGAAGAGTTTCACAAACATGCAATAGCAAGGAATTGTCTATCCAACTCAAGTACCAGCTGATGGATCTCCACTTGAAAGGCGAAGCATTGGACTGGTTCAGGAAGCTGGATAAGAAAGAACTTGAATATGACAACGGGCAGCAACCACGCTTTGTATAAAAGTTCCTGTATCAATTCCTCAACGAGGACAGGCCCAACAAGATGGAGGAGGATTTTTATGCAAGGATGCAAGCTGAAGGAGAACCTGGTGAATCTTACATCCACGCAAAGTCCCAATTGTGGAGGCGCCTTCAATTGAATCAGCAAGAGGACACGAGTCCAGATATCAGTGCGATCTGTATTGGGCTACACCCCCATAATGAGTTCTTTTTGAACTTGAAAAAGCCCAAAAATATTGAGGAATTGCGAGTAACAGTGCGTTTGGCAGACAAATGCCGTGCCAATCCTTCATCAATGCCAGCCGTAGTCCAACCAATGACTAATATGGGATTCCAAGCCAATCCAAGTGAACAACCACAAGTGCAAATCGTGCACAACACCCACCGTAGAGAGCAACAAGCATGGGAGGCAAGAATGAACAAGATTATGACACAAATGGAAAGTTTGGTATCCATGCAACAAGAGGTCCTTGAGAGGATCAGTGAAGAGCCAACATTGTATACAGATCAATATTGTCATGCTGAACATGCCATCCAACGAGATCTTGTTTCCAAAGCCATAAGGCAAAATGGTGACACTGGTGCCGAAAGCTTGGGTTTTTGGAGGGGCGGCCATTGACAGGTGTGGTCGCCCAAAACAAAGCAGATCTTGTAAATCATGTGCATGTTCTGCATTTTGTTCAGGGCAATGAAGCAAAATCAGCAAGTCAGGGGGAAGTAGCGCCAATCGATACAAGTGAGAAACCACCCATCATTGCACAACCAAAACCATCATCACCGGATTTATTGCAAGGAAAAAGAGATGACATGGATCCAAGTTTGAAGTGTGAGCAAGAGGTGATTCAAAATGACGACGGCAAGATCTTGAAGCCGCCACGTGAGACTATTACACAAGATGAGCACACACTACCAAGGATGGCAAAATGACACCAACGTTATCAGCTGACCATGAACAAGAACCGCATTGGGCTAGGAGCGCTATTGTTGTTGTGGATAGGTCCATATCGAGTACGATTTTCTTCGATGGCTATATGATGATCAAGGTATTCAAGGCGTCAGCATCGATGAGACGAGTCTAATGGTATGCTGTTTGTGTAGGTTCCAAGCCATAGACGTTTCTTGGTGCTGAGCTACCACCATGAACAATGCCTGGTTCTCATTATGTACGTAGGCAGCGTCACATTCGCCATGCACTTTAGTCACCATATCCATTTAAAGTACAACTACTTTGATCTGATGGGTCCCAATGATGGCGAAGTTCAAAATAAAAGCCTGAAAAACACAAGTTGACATTGTTTGGTTGTCCCTCTGAACCGAACAAGACTTGCGTTTATACTTTGAACCTTCAACAGGACACCAGTTACATGAGGCATGTTACAAGGGCTGCATTCGGTAAGGGCAGGGCATTCTTTGGCGATCATTTCAATAATGAAAACGTAATCTCCAGGCATCTTGAATACTGATATGATCGGCATTTCCATACCTTGTACCACTTAGATAGCACAGACCCCAAGCGATTCCAAGGTTATACCTTCAAACTCAATTTTTAGGTGCTTGGGGGGTGAATTCAACATGATGATAATGGACGCTTTTGTGTTGCCCACATTCGCTAAGAATCGATCCAGCGATAGCATGACCCAATACCGATAGTCGAATGATTTTGTAAACATCATATAAAGCCTATTCAAATTGCGTCTACTGCTTTTATCCGTATTGATGTCAAGGACAGTTATACATTGAGGGTATGCTGGCAATAAAGCCATTTTGCTGTACCAAAGCTAAACAATAAACCTTCCATCATTCAAATCTATCATGGCCCAAAGGGGTGATTGCATTGGCATAGAAGGCGATAATTGTTCAGGATATCAAAGAGGTTTATTCTATCGCTTATGGGAATACTGAGAGTGTATATAATTCCAAGGAATCAAGAGCGTGTGAGCATTGCATCTACTATCACCTCCAAGCCTGGCCTTTTGATCTTGAGGTAACGAATCCTATCCATGTCGGCTTGGCTTGCTGAGTAAATCCGTATACATTCAAGCTGTGACAACTCTTCGATCGCTTCCCAGAACTCATCGTCGTCGTCGCTGATGTGTTGGATTCCAAACGCAAACTGCTTCAAACTTTCAAGTTGCTTCAAAGCCTTGATGGCACCAATCAATGGCCCATTCGAAAAGCGTATCTCAAGGCATGCTAAGCGAGGACATCCTTTGGCAAGCGCATCAAAGAAACATTCCATATCATAGGGGTCCCAATTAAAGTGCGTACCAAAAAAGAGCATCAAGCGCTGTAGGTGATCAAGACGAGGGATAGCATCCAACACTGGTGCGATGTCGTCCACATTCATGCAATGGATATCAAGTTCACGTAATTGGGATTGCTGATTCATGCGATCAAGATAGCTGACGAGGATTGAGCGATCTTCTAGTGGTTCCTGAACATCAAGCTGCAACACGAGTTTCATCACATTGGGTTGTATGATATCAAGAACTTGAGGGTATTCGTTGACCATTATCCAAGAGATTGTCAATTCCTCCAGTCGTGGTGCATTGCCTGGTATCCACCATCCAGACTCTACGAGGGAGAGTTTCTTTAGCCGTGGGTATTGGATATCATGTGTGTGTTTGACGTCGTTGTCATGGTATAAATCCCATCGTATATTCTCGAGTGTCGTGTGTTGCTGCTTTAGAAAAGAATCGATAGTCGTCAATATGCCAGGTTCCTCACAATGCGCCGTGACAAAAAATTCGGTGATCCCGTCACATCCATCATACCCTTCATTGGTAAATCGACATTCAATACCTAAATTATCGGCGATTAACGTGAGGCGTTTCACCCATGGGTAATAGTGAGGGACTGAAACCAGCGCTTCAATGTCTTCGCAAGGATGAAGTTCAAGCGTTGTGAGGGATGGAAAACGTTTACAAATGCTAATGACATCATCACGTGTGATCTCCTTTGTTGCCCTGTCAATGCTGAATGTCGTCAACTTTGGCCATGTTGTCATTGGAAGTGCACTGAGATCCGCATGACCATTGAATTTTACCCGGAGCGAAACAAGATTGGGAAAAACCAATACGGCATTAGGTATGGAGAACGGCATGGGTGGGTATACGTTTCTAATATCAAAATGCGTCAAGGTGTTGCTGACTGATTTGAAGGTAGTGATAAAGTCATCAATGCTACCCTCCTCGCAAGAACCTAAAAGCAAGGATATGTAAATAAAGGGTGCACAAAGAATTAGACGCAGCAATAACGTACCCACAACGGATAACTTTTGCAATGCGCAATAGTTATTCTCGCGTAATAAATCACCAAGCCATCTTCCTTGATCATTGGGGTAAACCGATAATGACCTTGTATGCTGAGCGAATTGGGCGATTTCTGAACGCACTTCCACACCCGGATCTTCTTTCATTTCATCAAGGTCGAACCATAATCCATCGAAACATTGAGTAATGCGATCACGCCATACATTGGATACATACAAATAAGGGGATAGATGTAATGGATCCAAAGGAAAACGACTCAACAAGGGCAACAAGAGGGGAATGAGCTTTGTAATCACAATGTCGACAGGCAGCTCCTTCACGAAATCAATCCGCTTTTTCATATGCTGCTCAGCTTCAGCCTTCATTTGCTGCAATGTATCATAATGCGTATCCTTGGTATCGATCATGCTGAGTCCTTCGTTGCAAATATTAATGACGTCAAGCTGCTGTCCAAGTTCACTGTAAATGCTGGCTTCGCGTATGTACCCAAGTGCTGAAGACGACGAGAGTTGTTGCATAAGTTTGACATCGCGAAGAGCAGCGTCAAAGTTGGCACACTTTGTGAACCCAATGGCACGCAGATTCAGAGCTGACAAGATGGGGTCAAGGGATGCATGGAATTGGGTGGTCGCATCGTAAACCAGCTGTGCATATTTTTCAGAGAAGGGTGTGAGTATGGGGGAGTATGGCATTGCAGGGGAAGAGCAATAAAAGATGGAGAGTGTGGGTGGGTGGGCTGAGCCATGGCAACCAATAAAAACCTTCCAAGCCCAGGTCCCAGCATAAAAGTTATGGGCCTCACAGCGCTCCATACTCAGCCCCTTTCTTTATGCTACACTTTATTTTTACTCGTTGCCAGCATTCGACACTCGTCATCTACTATCACAATGGCATTCGTCTCCTTGGTTACGCGTCATCCCTACGACAACGCCTCTTTGTAGCTTTGTCATCACCACGCGAAACAACTTGTTACCTTGGCAATGACACCTCCACTAAAAACAATCGCTGTCGACTCATCTTACTGAAGGTCGTGGTGCTGATCTTACCCAGCGTGGCTAATACAAAGATACCCAATTAGTTTGCAAACGTACCGTCAACAAAGCACTCGGATCATCATCCAAAGGTACGTCTTGGCATGGTTTTATTGGTTACGAGTTACTCATCATCATCATCATCATCTACTCGTAAAACACCAGCTCCCTGTACGCTGCTACTCTTGGTTGGCGATTGATGTGTCAGAAACTGGATCGACAATAGGGATTGCTCGCTGCAGGATACCTATTTTTACGCAAGCTTTTGCCATCATCCAGTGTCAATTTGTCGTCGTCACCTTTCGCCTTTCATTGTATCCTTGAATGATCCGGATTTATGCACACAACGCTCAAGCAATGTATGGAAATGTGGTGTGCCTTGTGGTTATGAGGTAAGTTTGAATGATGGATCTTGTGGGTATGCTTGTTCAAGGAGTATTGTGTGCGGTATGTACCATTACAGGTTGGATGAAGACACAATGGATATGGTAAGAGCCGTTTTGGATGCTGGATGTTGCTGCATAGCTAGCTGTGTTAGTGTAGCCTTGTGTCTAGCAAAATAAAAGCGGTCAGCATTGCAAAGGAAATATCAGAGCTACTGGAATATGGATGACATGGCGAAGCCTATCTATTTAAATCAGCATCCACCAATACAAAATAAGGGACAAGCTTAAAGAGAACGGATCACATTCACCGCTGACTGTAAGAGAGAGTGGGATAGGCTTATGGTTGATGATAAACGCTGACGTAATGCTTATGCTTCCCATTGCTACTGTAAGCATACGCTCGCTCGACCTTTTGGTTTGTATTCACTTTTACGTAAGCTGTACTGTGGATCATGGAGTGCTTTTGTGAGGCGCCAGCACCATCCGTACCACACGCAAGGGAGTCGTTTTATACTTCCCGAATGCTGAACAAGCGCTGTGTAACCATCCTTGTCATCCTCCCTGCAGACACCACCAAGCATCCACCTACATACTACATCATGGTGGCAACGTGTTGCAAGTGGGTAAACATGTCAGGAATTAAATAGGGACGAAGGCATGATGGTGTTTCCAATAAAGTGGTGTTGTAACATGTATTCATTATCTTGTGCACAAATAACCAGCACCAAAGCATGTTACGCTTAAGATTCAGCTGCGTACGCTCCCAGACTAGATGAATTTGTAGAGTATGCCATCATCATGAAGATGATGATCCATCTTTTATCATTTCCGTCTAGCCTATGCTACCCTGTCATCATCATGGCATGTATGAAGCATCGATTCCAGTAATCGTTCATATAAACAAAGAAACTACAACGGCATCTGCGACGATGATGCTGATCGATAATTCCCTCATTAAAATGATATATGGCACAGGCGATTAAACAGTGTTCATGGCAACCAAAGTATTTATTGTATTATGTGGGTAAAACTGTATTCAATAAAGAAAGGTGCAAGTGATACATGTTTCTATTGGCATTGGCAGTGTATGGGGATCGTCGTGGATCACCATGATCACACGTGTTACACAACGTAGGGGGAGGACCCTTTTAGAGAGACGCGTTGCATGCATCCTATTCGGAAGATTTTGTCCCGCAACCATGAACAGCAACACATGGACCCGCTTGCTTCAACAACCTCCACTTCCAGCTCAACGACAACATTACTCAACTCTTGTTTCAGATTCGACCACAAAACTTGCACAATGCGTTGACGATTTATTGACGGTGCTCAATGATCGCGCCAAAGGATTGACCGAATGCGCCAACTTTGATGCTGCCCTTTCCGATGCGTCCACCATGCAGCAGCTGTCGCCATCGTCACCCCTTGGTTACTTGTGTGCAGGAAGCGTTTACAGCCAACAAGGACGACAACGTGATGCAATTGATATCTACAACCAAGGCCTCTCTAAAGTCAATAAGGATGATCCTGGCTATGACGATTTACAACAAGCCAAGGCGGATGCAGTGGATCGTGACAATAGACGTTTCGACCTATTCAGTGAATTGCTATGCGACAATGATTTAGCACAACAACTCGTTCCCATGTTGATGGATGAGAAACAATGGATCGATACAGAGTACTTTTTGGTGTCCAACACATGGCGTGAGAAAATGATGCGCGTCGTTGGCCATGATGATGAATGTCATATCGTGATGAATGGTAATGAGGACCCACTCAACTCTCGATTGGCTCGATGTGCTACACGTACAAAGTCCCTCACTATCAAGGTGTATCGTGATGATTCTTGGCTGAGTCGTCTTTTGGATCATTTGGATTTGCGTTCTTTGAAGACGATTGATATACAATGTAAGAGTTTTATTGACATGATGCTTACAGCTTTGCTAACAAGCGTTGAACGTAGCCATGGATGTGAGCAGCGTGACCCAAACAATCTCAGCATTAGACCGGATCGGCAAACGTTTGACCCATTTTACGGTGAACATTGAAAAGGGATGCCCATTCGATCTTGACGACATTGTTCCTCGATGCCCCAATTTGCTCTATTTATCCGTCACCGATGCTCCCACTTGTTTCATATCGTCCATTCCAAAGAGAAGCAAGCTAAAGACGTTCATTGTACACTGCCCAAAGGCCGGCATGCACCATAAGGCTCCTTATTTATTCTTGCAATGTTTTCCTGCTCTTGAGAAACTGGTGATCAGCCCTTGCTTTGATATTCCAATCATGTCCGATATTCGTCGTTTTTGCCCATCGATGCAACAGCTTCAATTAGGCGTCCTCACCCATGTTCGTGAATCACAGCCATCAGCAGGACGAGGATTGAAAGATCTTTGCATTGAGAACAACCTTCAAATGTACTACAACGCACAACATGTCAGCAATCTATTGAAGAGTCATTGCAAGACCTTGGAAACGCTTGACCTCAACCAATGTCTTGGAGACAATGTCAATAAGAACATCAAGTATCCTCGTTTACGACGCCTTGTTCTCAACAATGACAATCCATTTGAACCATGCTTTGGATGGTGGATCCCGAATCAAGCCCCATTATTGGAAGAGTTGGTGATTTCAAGCACGGCTATCAATGACATCCTCGATACAAGATCACCCAATTTGAAGCGGCTTGTCATGAAGATATCACGATCAACGGATATGACACGCATTTCTCAATTGACTTCCTTTGCTGAGCGACATGCAAATGTGCAAACGCTTGAGATCCATTCTTATATCTTTTATGACATCCTCAACTTGGATTTCTTTATCCGCCGATTTGATCGACTCTCCAGCTTGGTGCTTGGTGCTGATAATAACTTTGAACAGCACTATATGGATGAGGTGGTGGACAAGCTTGTACAAGGACGTACCCATTTGAAACAGTTGACAATGAACTTTAAGCATGGCATTTCCAAACATGCCATCGAGACCTTGGCAACATTGAAACATCTCGAATCTCTCACTCTCCCTGTCAATCGTTCTTCAGCAGCTGGTTTAGTCACCTTAGCCCAATGCTCACACCTCAAGTACCTCAAAGTGCTCCCTGATTTCCAACATCCTGATGACTTTACCTTGGAGCTCAAGCAACGCAGGCCTGACATCGATGTTGAGATTGTGGAACACAAAGGCTAGTTATTTATTTATGTTGATATTCCATACATGGAAATAAAGCGACTAATGCGACTGATATGACAAATGCCCCCATGATTGCAGTTCTTGTAGTTTCGTGATTCTATTACTCTCATGTCCATGAAAATGCAAGTTACCCAATAATAATAAAAGAGCATCCTATGTGTCAAACGTTGTAGCTGAATGATAACGTAACTCGTATCCATGATGGATCAAGCTACAGTATGTTTTATGCACATGTATGTAATTTAAGTACGATAGTCCTAATGCATTCATAAACGATTCAGCTGGGAACTTTTATTATATAGCATACAACAAACGGGAATAGGCGATGACGGGGAACACGTGATGGGAAGAAAATAGCTAACCAAAGTGCTAAAATTTGAGTGCTTAGAAGATGATGGTATGGTTGTCAATGATGATCTGCATGTCGGGTCGTTGTTTCAGGAAATAGTCGACGTTTTTCTTGTTCACTATACGTGGAGCATATATCTTAAGATACTTGAGCTGAAGGAACGTGGGAATTATATGCCAAAAGCCGCCACGACCACCCGTGCCATGTAGTGAGAATGCCAAGTACTTCAAATGTTGAAGGCTCTGCATGAGCGCTATTGAATTTGCTGTTGGCGACGTTTTCGATATAAACTCAAGGTTAACTAGACGAGGACATCCCTTGATAAGCCGACCCAAGAATTGGTCCATTGGATACGAACACCAAGTACCGGTAAAAGTTACTTTCAAAACTTCAAGCTGATTGTGGCGATGGATGGCCTCAAGCAAATTGCCAACGTTGTCCTTGCTGTCGAACTTGATGTCAAGTTCCTTCAATGGATGTTGGTGAGCAAAGCGATCAAGATAGTGTTCAATGGTTGAATTGTTGGCAGCGTTGAGTCCTTGTCTAAGATCCAAAGCTAGCTTTTTCAACTTGGGTGGAATAGCAAGGAGTACTGCAGGGTGTTGATCGATTGTTGCCAATGTCATCTCCAATTCCTCGAGTAAGGGTGCGTTGCGTGGTATCCACCATCCGGCCTTATTAAGAACAAGTTTCTTTAGCTGTGGAAATTGCATGTCGTAAATGTCCCTGTTGACGCTCTCATCATCCATATCCCATTCAATCCGTTCAAGGGTCTCGTGATGCTGCTTTAAAATGGTGGCGGTGTTGTTGCATATTTGCCCAGTTTCTGTCTTCATGGTAAGGTGTGTGATCCCTTCACAAGCATGTCCTTCATCAACGTAGGTAAGCTGAACGCCCTTATCACGCATCAAAAGCTCGATGTTTGAAATCCTGGGGGCATATCGCAAGACGATGAGTGCTGATTCGATATCGGAACATGGGTGAAGCTCAAGTCTCTTTAGCGATGGAAAACGTCTCAAGATCCACACTATCTCATCGCATGTGAGAGCCGTCTGTGAAAATGTAAGCGATAATGTTCTTAATGCTGGCCATGTCTTCATGGGAAGAGAGCTGACACCTGCATTTGGCGTATTAAAAATGCAGAGTGATACAAGATTGGGGCAAGCCTTCACTATTGTCGGTACGCTTAGCACAGCTCCTTGGAACGAGATGTTCAAATGGGTCAATGTGTTGCTGATGGATTCAAGACATGAGACAAAGTGATCCACGTGGTTGTTTGAGAATTCTTAAAACAAGGATGATAAATGAAGCGAGCTTAAAAAAGCAATAATAGCATACATACCAGCAATGCATAACTTACGTAACATGCAAAAGTCATTCTGGGATAGCAAGTCACCGACCCATCTTCCTTGGGAATAACTTGATACTTTCAACTCTTTTGTATATCGAGCAAACTTGGCAACTTCCAAACACTCTCTATCACGATGTCCCCCGAAATATCCAATCTCAAAACGTAATCCACCAAAGCATTCAACAATCCGATCACGCCATGTCTTGGAGATAAATACATAGGGGCTTGGCATCTCCGGGATCCTGAGGGAATCCTTCACAAGCATGGGAATGAGGGTCGTGATCACAATGTCGAGAGGGAGTTGGCTAACAAAGTCGATGCGTGTGTTTTGGCGTTGTTCAGCATCCATTTTGGCTCGTTTCAAATCATCATAGTATGTATCCTTCGTATTGACCATACTCATCCCCTTGTCGCATATGTCGATTGCTTGTCGCTGTTTTCCTTGTTCACTGTAAATGCTGGCTTCGCGTATATATCCACGTGCTGAAAAAGGCGAGAACTGTTGCATGAGCTTGGCATCGTGAAGGGCAGCTTCAAAGTTGGCGCACTTTGTCGATCCGGTAGCTCGCTGATCCAAAGCCGACAAGATCAATTGAATTCCTTCATGGACTAGTGTCGTTGCATTGTGGACAAGCTGTGCATATTTATCAGAGGAGGCTGTAAGCGTGGGCTGGTTGCATAAATCGTTCCAAATAGTGTGCGTCATGGTATGGTTGGCTGGGAAACAAGAAGGGGTCGCCGTCCCACGCCAAAGGTAATTTTTATAGGCTGACTCCCCTCATTCCAACTGCCGGTTGCTTTATTCCCCTTTTGCTCCAACAGCGACTTGGCACCTTCTATTAAAGCCTCACTTTTACTCCATGTCAACATCCCTCGTTCGCCATCTGCCAACAGAATTTGTTTCAGCCAGCATTCGTGTCCTTGGTTACGCGTCATGTCTACAACAACTGCCCTTAGTCCTTGGTCATCTCCACCACCCCGAAACAGCTTGTTACCTTGGCAATGGCACCTCCACTAAAAACAATCGCTGTCGCCTCATTTTGCTCAAGGTCTTGGTGCTGATCTTGCGCAGCTTTGCTAATACAAAGGTACGCAACACAGCACTTGCATATGAACGTGCCCTCAACAAACCAACTTATTATCTTGCATAGGTAAGTCTTGGGATGATTTATTTGTTACGGGTTCCTCATCATCCTCATCATAGCTGCTTGTCGAAACACCAACTTGCTGTACGCTATTACTTTTGATTAATTATGGATGTCACAACAACTGGGTAGGTGATAAGGATTGCTCGCTGCAAGATACCTTTTCCTCACACAAGTCTTTTAGCATCATCCAATCTCAATTTGTCGCCGCCTCTTGGCTTTTATTGTATTTTGGATGCTCTCCTTTTATGTACCAAGGCTCATGGAATGTTGTATGGATTGGGTTTATGAGGTAGGTATGGATGATGTATCTTGCGGATATGCTTTCTCAAGGGGCATTGGATTTGGTACGTGATGTTCGCGTAACGTGGGCACCACTACAACGCGGATGAAGGAACAATGGATATGGTAAGAGCCGTGGTGAGGGCTACATGTTGCCGTTTAGCTAGTCGTATTAGCGTAGTCTTGTTGTCTACCAGAATAAAAATGGCCGGCGTTGCGAAGGAAACATCCGGACTACCGGTAATCGTGTATGAAGGACGAGATGAAACATATGCATATTACCAGCCTCCACCATAAAGCTAAAACAAAGCGACGAATGTAATCCTTGTCGACACGCACTATCTTCATATGCAATGATCAGATGTTGCGTGTTTTTTATTAAGCGTAAGATCAGGAGGTGATGATGCGAATGGTCTGAAGTATATATATTCTTGCAGCACCAAATATACAAGATGGTATGCGAGATATGACCGATGCTATACAAGGGATAAGCTTTTGTAACTGGGTGAAGGCAATGGGTCATATCCACTGTTGAATGTAAGGGAGAGCTGAAAGACATATGGCTGATGATACCGCTGATGTAATGGTAATGCTTCCCAGTTGATCGTTTTCATTTACCTTTAAGCTGCATCATGGTTCTTGAAATGCTATTGTTAGGCGTCAGCACAATCGGTATCATACAAGGTGTTACTTTATCGTTCCGGTTGTTGCCCAATCCCTGTGTAACCACACTTATCATCCTCCCAACACACACATGCATGCATCCATTTACATACTATTATAATGACAACGTGCTACAAGTGAGATACGGTGTAAGAAATGTAATAACAATATTAGCCTGATAACGCTTCCATATACAGCATAATAAAGTTATGCTGTATTCATGTATTCATTTTTCATGTGCAAACATCTGCCACCACACGTGTTCACCTTAACGAGGGATCTGGATACGCTCACGTACCATGCAGAGGCCAATAAATGATGGGTCGTCGACCTCGTAGAATACGCCATCAACAATAAGATGATCCATCTTTTATCATTTTATGTAACCCACGCTGCCATGGCATTACCATGGAAACTAAACTATACATTGCCGCTTGTGGGTAAAACTGTATGCAGTAAAGAAAACTGAAAGTAATCCCTATATCTATTGGCATCGTTAGATGATGATCGTGGCTGTGTATGGGGTCATCGTTGATTATCATCATGATATGTGTGCCAGCACGTATCATCCTGTGCATGTAATCCACTAGGGCTAATGATGATGCGACATCTTGTTCATCATGGAAGTGGCTATGGCTTATTGACACTGTAACGAAGCTTTATGGAAGTAATTTAAGTCGTATAGTCCGAATACATGCATGTGCGGTACTGCTAGAGACATTTATTGTGCGATAGGTAGAAACGGGAATAGACGGTGACAGGGGAATAGGATATCTAGCAAAATGCAGAAGCGAGTGGTTTGAAAAGTTGCGAGTAGTATCCCTCAACGGTGATCTGCATATCTGGTCTTTGTTGCTTGAGATATTTGACTTTGGCATCCCTTCCTGGACCTAAATCCTGTATCACAAGACACTTGATTTGACGAATGGTGGGAATTACATTCCAAAAGTTGTCATAGTCCTCGGTGCCCTTGATCAATAACGCTAATTGTTGCAAATGTTCAAGATGCTTCAAGCTATTCATTGTGTTTGCTGATGGTGCAGCATGGCATACGAGCTCCAGGCTGATTAAACGAGGACATCCATTGACAAGCCCATGAACGAATTGCTCCATTGAATAGGAATTCCAAACTCCCTTCAAAGTGACCTTTAGGTGTTCAAGCTGATTGTGGCGATGGATGGCATGAAGCAAATTGTCAACGTTGTCCTTGCTGTCCAAAGCGATGGTAAGATACTTTAGCTGGTGTTGAGCGAGGCGATCCAAATAGTGTTCAATGGATGACTTGCTGGCAGCATCGAGTCCTGCTTTGAGGTCCAAAGTCAACTTTTTTAGATTGGGTGGGATTGTATCAAGTGTTGCAGGGTGTCGCTTGATGGTTTGTGATGTCATTATCAAATCCTCCAGCAATGGTGCGTTGCGTGGTAATTCCCAACCCGAAATATAGATATGAAGTTTTTTAAGATGGGGGTACTGACGGTCGTCAATCGTGTCGGTATCGCAGCTTGTATCCATGACCCATTCAATCTTTTCAAGGGTGTTGTGATGCTGCTTTACAATGGAAGTGGTATTCGTGCATGCTTTTTCTGTTTCTGAGCTGATGGTAAGGTTCTTGATCCCGATTCTTTCACTCGGATGCTCTTCACAAGAGAAGGTAAGCTCAATACCATCATCATCGCACATCACAAGGTCGATGTTTGAAATCCATGGAGCGTGTTGCAAGACGATGAGTGCTGATTGGATATCGGTACATGGGTGAAGCTCAAGTCTCTTTAGTGATTGAAAACGCTTCCAAATCTCAACGATCTGATCGCATGTGATGCCCGTGTGTGAAAATGTAAGCGCTAATGTTGTCAATGTGGGCGATGTTGCCATGGAAAGAGAGCTGACATCGACATCTGGCGTATCATTGATGCAGAGCAACACAAGATTGGGGCACGCCTCCACTATTGTTGGTACGCGTAGCGTAGTTCCTTCCAACGAGATGTTCAAATCGGTCAATGTGTTGCTGATGGATTCAAGGCACGATACAATGCGATCACCATGTGTGTGTATGAGATCTTATCACGATATTGGTCAACGAAGCGAGCTTGATAAAAAGATAATAAAATACATACCACCAATGTATAGCTTGCGTAATATGCAAAAGTCATTCTCGGATAGCAACTCACAGAACCATGTTCCTTCGGAATGACTTTGTACTAGCAACTCCTTTGTGTGTTGAGCAAACTCGATGACTTGCAAGCACTCCTCATGACGTAGTCCCTCGTCATTTCCAAAGATAAACCTCAATCCACCAAAGCATTCAACAATCCGATCACGCCATGCATGGGACGCAAATAAATAGGGACTTGGTCTCGCTGCGCTCATAAAATCATCATCCATAAACATGGGAATGAGTGTTGTAAAAACAATGTCGAGAGGTAGTTGGCTAACAAAGTCGATTCGGTTGTCCTCACGTTGTTCAGCATCGGCCCTGGCTTTTTGCAATACACCGTAATGCATATCATCACGATCCACCATCATCAGCCCCTTGTTGCAAACATCAATGACATGGCGCTGTTTCCCTTGCTCGCTGTAAATGGTAGCTGCACGTAAATACCCGAGTGGTGAAGAGGGCGAGAGCTGTTGCATAACGTTGGCGTTACGAAGAGCTGATTCAAAGTTGGCAAGCTTGGTCAATGCCATGGCGCGCCGATCCAGAGTTGTCAACATGGAGTGAATGGGTTGATGGAGTCGAATGGTCGAATCGTAGACAATCGTTGCATACTTTTCAGTGGACACTGGGTGAGTGGGTTGGCTGCATAAATCGGTCCAAATAGAATGAGCCATATCGTTGGTTGAACTGAGTGAAGAAGAAGGGATCAACTCAAGTGGACCCGTTCCAGCATAAAATTCATTGGCCAAGAAGTCCCAGTCAACACGCTGCTTTATCCTCTTTATCCCAAACAGCTCCCTTTTTATACTTGACAACCCTCCCCAACGCTCTACTTATACTCCTTGTCGACATTGCTCGTTCGCCATCTGCCAACAGGCTTGGTGTCAGCCGACATTCGTCTCCTTGGTTACGCGTCATCTCTACAACAAAGACTTCTGGTGAGTCGTCGCTTCCTTGTACTCGTTTCAGCTGCCTCTTTTACACAACGCTATACAACCTGTTATGTTGACAATGACGCCTTGACTGTAAACCGATCGCTGTCGTCTCATCTTGCTGAAGGACTTGGTGCTGATCTTGCGCAGCTTGGCTGATACAAACCTACGCAACACGGCACTAGTATATGAACGTGCCCTCAACAAACCAATCCTATTATCTTCTATAGGTATGTCTTGGATCGTTTTCTTGTCACGAGTTACTCAATACCATCACCATTAGCTGCTTGTCGAAACACCACCTTGCCGTACGCTACGACTCTTGGTTAATTATGGATGCCTCAGCAACCGGATCGACAATAAGGATCGACAATAAGGTTTGCTCGCTGTAGGACACCTTTTTCTCACGCAAGTCTTTTGTCATGACCCAGTATCAATTGGCTGTCACATCTTTGCTTTTATTTTATTCTTGGATGCTCTCCTTTTATGTACCGACGCTCATGGAATGTTGTATGGATTGGGTTATGAGGTAAGTTTGGATGATGGATCTTGCGGACATGCTTTCTGAAGGGGCATTGGATTTGGTATGTGATAATCGCGTACTCTGGACACACTACAAGTTGGATGAGGGGACAATGGATACGTGGGGGCTGCATGTTGCCGTTTAGCTAGCTCTATTAGCGTAGTCTGATAGTCTATCAAAATAAAATGGTCAGCGTTGCGAAGCAAAATCGTTAGATGATGATCTTGGTGGTGTATGAGGATCATCGTGGATCACCATCATGATCTGTGTGCCAGCATGTATCATCCTGTGCAATTCACTACGGCTAATGATAATAAACAGGTCTTTGGGGTACCAATGGGTGCAAACAAATGATAAGACATATCATATCCATCATGGAAGTGGCTATGGTTTATTAACGTTGTGACGAAGATTCATGCGAGTAGTTTAAGTAGCATAGTCCTAATGCATAAACACAATTCCGTTGAAGCTATTTACTATACGACATGTGAAAATGGGAATAAACGATGGCAGGGGTATGTAAGAACACGAAATTGTCTAACTAAAGCGTTGAAATGAGTGCTCAGTGCTCGAGGACATATCTTTCAACAATAATTTGCATGTCAGGCCTTTGTTCCTTGAGATACTTGACTTTGTCATCCCTCCCGCCATGTATAAGGTAAATCGTAAGAGACTTGAGATGACGAAACGTGAGAATCTCATTCCAAAAGCTCTCGTAGTCACCCATGCAAAAGACTAAGAATCCGAATTCCTTCAAATGTGTAAGACGCTTCAAGGTATTCATGACATTTGCTGACGGGGCAGTTTTCGATCTGAGGTCCAGGCTGTGCAAATGAGGGCACCCTTTGACAAGTCTATCAAGGAATTGCTCCAAAGGATAGGAAGCCCAATGATTGGGAAAGGTTATCTCCAAGCGTTCAAGTTGATCATGACGACTGATGCCTTTAAGCAAATCGTTAACGTTGTCGTTGTCACTGTCGAAGTCGATGATAAGTTGCTTCAGCTGGTGTTGTCGAGCAAGGCGATCAAGATAGCGTTCGATGGATGGCTTCGTGACAGTAGTCAGTCCTTGTAGATGCAAAGCTAGCTTGTTCAAATTGGGTGGGATGGCATCGAGTACTGCAGGGTGTGCGTTGATTGTTTCCAGGGTCATTTCCAATTCTTGTAGTAATGGTGCGTTGCGTGGTATCTGCCATCCAGACATATTAATGTGAAGGTCCTTGAGTTGAGGATACTGAAGATTGTCGATCGTGTTGGTATCGTGGCTAGTATCCATATCCCATTCAATCTGTTCAAGTGTGTTGTGATGCTGCTTAACAATGGCGGTGGTGTTGTTGCATATTTCCTCTGTTTCAGTCCTTATGCTAAGGCTTGTGATCCCGATCCCTTCACTGCGTTTCTCTCCACCAACATAGATAAACTGAATACCCTCATCACGCATCAAAAGGTAGATGTCTTGAATCCATGGAGCATACTGGTGAGCTATGAGTGCTGATTGGATATCGGAACATGGATGAAGATCAAGTTTCTTTAGCGATGGAAAACGCTTCCAGATCTCAACTATCTGATCGCATGTGATGTCCGTGTGTGAAAATGTAAGCGATAATGATGTCAACGCGGGCCATGGTGCCATGGGAAGAGAGCTGACATCGACATCTGGCGTATCATAGATGCAGAGTGAAACAAGGTTGGGGCAAGCCGTCACTATTGTGGGAACATGTAGAACTGGTCCATCCAGCATAATGTCCAAATCGGTCAATGTGTTGCCGATGGATGCAAGGGACGAGATAAAGCGATCAACATGTATGCTTGAGAATTCTTATAACAACAATGGTAAATGAATCGAGCTTTTAAAAAGAGATGAGAGCATACCATTGATGGTTAACCCACGTAGGGAGCAAAAGTCGTTCTCGGATAGCAAATCACTGAGCCATGTTCCTTGGGAGTATAATGATACTTGCAACTTTTTTGTATGTTGAGCAAACTTGACGATATTCAAACACTTGTCATCACGTTCCTCCTCGTGATATGCAACCTCAAAACTCAATCCACCAAAGCATTCAGCAATCCGATCACGCCATGCATTGGACACAAATATATAGGGCGTTGGTCTCAATGAGTCCATAAGAGTGTCATCCATAAACATGGGAATGAGCGTTGTGATGACAATATCGATAGGTAGTTTGCTGATAAAGTCGATGCGTGTGCTTTGGCGTTGCTCGGCATCAGCCTTGACTTGATACAACGTAGCATACTGCGTATCCTTGGTATCCATCATACTGAGTCCTTCGTTGCATATATGGATGGCTTGGTGCTGTTTTCCTTGTTCACTGTAAATGCTGGCTTCCCGTATATATCCAAGTGCTGAAGAAGGTGATAGCTTTTGCATAACTTTGGCATCGCGAAGAGCAGCATCAAAGTCGGCACACTTTGTCAACCCAATGGCGCGTCGATTCAAAGTTGACAGGATGGAGTGAATGGGTTCATGGAGTTGAGTGGTTGCATCGTAGACAAGCTTTGCATACTTTTCAGAAGAGGCTTTGACTGTTGGCTGTTCGCATAAACCGTTCCAAATCCAGTCGTCCATGGTTGGTTGGCTGAGGAGGAAGAAGATGTCCCACGCAAACATAAAAATTATTGGCTAAATATTCTCAGGCGACAGCCCGCAGCTTTATTTCCCTTTTGCTGGAACAACCTCTCCTTTCTATACTTTTCGACTCACGCTAAAGCTTCTTGTCAACCTTCCTCGTTCGCCATCTGTCAACAGAAATGACTTCAGCCAACATTCGTTTCCTTGGTTACGCATCATCTCCTCAACAACTGTTGGTGGTTCACCTCTTGGCAGTACTTGTCTCAGCTTCGTCTCCAGCACAAAGTTAAACAACTTGGACGTTTGAGAATGACGCCTCCAGTGCATTACAATTGCCAACGACACACATGTCTCTGCTTGCTGAAGACCTTGCTCCCGATCGTATGCAGCTTTGCGAATCTAAAGGTGCCCAACAAGGCCATGGGATATGAACGTGCTGCCAACAAACCGACACTGCTTATGAACGTGCATAGATACGTTTTGCCACGGTTACAACGTCTGGTAAGTGCAATAGTATGTGAGACAATACTGGCAGGGTCAAGTAAGGGTTGTTTGTTTCAAGCTGCTCATCATCATCATTCTGTAAAGGGACTTGACCAAGCATTGCATCCACGTACGCTCTTGCAATTTGTCCATGATGGATGTTTCAGCCACCAGATCAAGGAAAACGATTACAAGCTGCAAGGCACCTTTTACAAGCGAGTTCATTTTTATGATCCGGTCTCTATTTGTTGTCATTTCTTGGCTTTTCATTACGTGTGTGGGATGATGCCAACGTAGAACAATCATGAATTTTCGGTGTCCCAAGCACTCAAGTATTACCTGGATGGAGTTGTTTCTTGTGGGATGATGAGGTATGCTGGGATGATGGATCTCGTGGGTATGCTTGTTAAAGAGGATCAGATTTGATTTCCATCCTTTAGGAAACTAGACACGTTGGATCAAGGGACAATGGACATGGAGATGAAATATCCCGGTAGATGTTACGGATTTGCATTTCTTTAGCAGGATCAGGGTAGTTTCATTGTGTATGAGAATAAAAGGATTAGCGTAAATGCTCAAAGATAATGAGACCAAATATGGCAACGTATGGCAGAGATGATGTAATTATGAGGTAGGATCTCAATGAGCTTCAACCACAATAACGTTATAGGACTACAATGAGAACACCCTAGCTGCATCTTTTGAACCTGGAACATGAATGGATATCCGACATCAATTATACCATTGGAATCAGCCCACACTCCTTTATCATCAAGCATGCTACCATAGCAGACAATACCCCGCTGCCTTGTTATGGATAACGAGAAAACAAGTAATCAAACACTTCTTTGCACCATACTACAACTTTCATTGTGCTCTTTATCTGGCGAAGTTTGGCATTTGGATATAAAATCATGGTCTCTGGAATACCAGGATTAGGAATTAGATTACATCTAAGCGATTCTATTGTTTTATGTTTTCCCTTCACTATAGAAATGATACTATAATAAAAGTGGTCTTTGGCAACAGTTACCCATATCCACGCTAATAGTGTCAGAGGACCGCAAGGCCATGTCAATGGAAGAAAGCAAAGAAAATAGGATTAAAAGAGCAACGTTCATATGTATATGCCATCTCACAGTCATTGATACAGTGCTAGCTATAAGTCAATTCCACCCAATTGAGTCCATTATGGATTTGGTAACATATGAAAAATGCGCCTGGTCCAAAGATTCATTTCCATCATTCAATTACATTGATCCGATCCGATTTGAGGAAATTACAGCAAGTAAGGCGTACACCGGTTCAAACATGCACCGTATACGGATGTATGGATTAGAGCAAAACTGGTTTTAGCGTAGCTCATCCTAATCGGCTCGGATCAATGTAATTAAAGCATGGAACGGAACCCCTGGAGGCGGCGCATTCACCACACGTTGTCAAATCCACAATGGGCTCAATTGGGTGGAATTGGTTAATAGCATCCAATCTATGAAGGACCATCAGACAGTGTACCCATATTAACCAATGCTCTTTTAATCCTTTTTTATCGCTTTCGTATACAAACATCGCCTTTAGCACCTATCTCACTATAAATGTACATATGAGTCACAATTGAAAAAGACCTACCTTTATAATAGCAAAATATACACGCACCTGTAACTCAAAATCTGACAATGCTGCATGAGCTCTTTTTGGAACCAGCATGCTCAGTATGGTCGAAAGTACCTTGTGTGAAAGTTTCAGGATCAACCTCGTCAATAGCAATTTTTCCATTTGTCGATCCCACCCAAAAAGTTTCAAGAGGTCGACCTGATTTTATTTTGGCGGGTGGTGACATGGCCAAATTTCAGATTAACGAGTTCGGTCTTGAAACTGGTACACAAGGTTGCTTGAGCTTGGCTGAGCACGGTAGTTGCAAAAAGAGCCCATGCTTCATTGTGACACTTTGAGTGATTGTTGTCTTTATGCAGTAAACATGATGCTATATGACAAAGTCGCCTTTTTCAATTGTCACTCATATAACCACTTATGGTGCAATAGCTGCACGAGGCCGCGTTTGGGTAAGAAAGCAAAGAAAACAGGAATAAAAGAGCAATGGATGATATGTACTCACTAGCTGATGGTCACTCATACATTGCTAGCTATCAGCCAATTCCACCCAATCAAGACCGTCATGGATTTGATAACGTACGAAAAATGCGCCTGCTCCAAAGATTCATTTCCATCATTCAGGTGTCTTGATCCGAGACGATTTGAGGAAATTACAGCCACGTAATGGGTATATCGCTTCCAACATGCAACGTATACAGGTATATGGAGTAGGCAAAACCTGGTCTAAGCGTAGCTCATCCAAATTGGCTCGGATCAATGTAATTAAACCATAAAACGGAACCTTGGAGCAGGCGCATTCACGACACGTTGTCAAATCCACAATCGGCTCAATTGGGTGGAATTGGGTAATAGCATCCAATCTATGAAGGACCATCAGACACTGAACCCATATCACCCATTGCTCTTGTAATTCTTTTTTCTTCGCTTTCGTATATAAACACCATCAATCGCACCTATCTCACTATAAATGTACATATGAGTCACAATTGAAAAAGACGACTTTTATAATAGAAGCGCTTTCCAAAACATACATGCACCTGTATCTCAAAACCTCACAATGCTACATGAGCTCTTTTTGGAACCAGCATGCTCAGCATGGTCGAAACTACCCTGTGTGAAAGTTTCAGGATCGAACTCGTCAATAGCAATTTTTCCATTTGTCGATCCCACCCAAAAAGTTTCAAGAGGTCGACCTGATTTTATTTTGGCGGGTGGTGACATGGCCAAATTTCAGATTAACGAGTTCGGTCTTGAAACTGGTACACAAGGTTGCTTGAGCTTGGCTGAGCACGGTAGTTGCAAAAAGAGCCCATGCTTCATTGTGACATTTTGAGTGATGGTTGTCTTTATGCAGTAAACATGATGCTATATGACAAAGTCGCCTTTTTCAATTGTCACTCATATAACCACTTATAGTGCAATAGCTGCACGAGGCCGTGTTTGGGTAAGAAAGCAAAGAAAACAGGATTAAAAGAGCAATGGATCATATGTATACGCCATGTCACAGTCATTCATACATTGCTAGCCATTAGCCAATCCCACCCAATCAAGACCATCATCGTTTTGATAACGTATGAGAAATGCACCTGCTCCAACGATTCACTTTGATGGTTTCATTAGTTTGATCCGAGCCGATTTGAGGAAATTATGGCCAAGTAATGGGTACATCGGTTCCAACATGCAACGTATACGGGTGTATCCACTAGAGAAAACCTGGTTTAAGCGTAGCTCATCCACATCGGCTTGGATCAATGTAATTAAACCATGGAACGGAACCTTGGAGCAGCCGCATTCACCACACGTTGCCAAATCCACAATGGGCTGAATTGGGTGAAATTGGCTTATAGCTCGCAGTACATGAATCACTGTGAGATAGCGTATACATATCATCCATTGCTGTTTAATCCTTTTTTCTTTGCTTTCGTATACAGACATCGCCTTTCGCACCTATCTCACTATAAATGTACATATGAGTCACAATTGAAAAAGACTCACGTTTATAATAGCAAAACATACATGCACCTGTAACTCAAAACCTTTCAATGGAGCCTGGGCTCTTTTTGATACCAGCATGCTCAGCATGGTCGAAACTACCTTGTGTGAAAGTTTCAGGATCGAACTCGCCAATAGCAATTTTTGCATTTGTCCATGCCAGCCAAAAAGTTTCAAGAGGTCGACCTGTTTTTATTTTGGCGGGTAAGATGTATATATGTGTGTATGATAAAACGAACAACAAACAAAGTCTGTAAGATTGCTGTTTACTCTGAAAGTGTGTCTCTGGGAAAAAAGACGTCTTTCTATCGATCTACCTCTGAGTACTATAACTAGGCGGATGCTAAGGAGTAAAGCTTTTCTACCAATAACAAGCTATATCGCAAATGAGTAACGGGATGAGTTGTATATGATGATCCACGCTTGTGTATCATCTCTTGTATGCTTATGCGCTTGTCTTTTGTATATACAATGATAAAGATGATAATAATGAATACATGATGTGTACCTTAACCGATCCATATACATGACAGCAAGCAGTGCATGTCATTTCCTCTACCTTAAGAACTCTTTTCATGTCGTCATACATATCCTTGTTGATGACAGTCTTATCCTCAGCCTTCAGTTTGTTGGTCTTGGCGTTGGTCTTGCTGTCACTTGACTTGGGGTTGGCGATGTACTGCTCCATAAGCCATCCAAATGTTGCCTTGGATAACCAATTACGTTCTCGGCCAAAGAAAATCGGTTAATGGGTAAGATACGTTCGCGTTTGGGATCTTTAAACGTTGATATCTCCGGCCCCAGCAATGTGACTGCGGTGAAATGCTGCTATCAATCGGAATATTTCGTTTCGGAGAGTCTACTATGGCCAAGTCACGTGAAATTTGGCGGACCTCGATTTTTACCATTTAATGTGTGCATTAGGCTATTATATATGCTGGATCGCTATCATGTGCTATAAAAGCTACAGTTTGGCAGTGTATGGTCTTATGAGATCACTTATGTGACTATCAAAATGTTTATTCTATATAGTCGCTATCATCACCTTATCATCGCTTTCCTCATCAGATGATTCATCGCCTAAGTTGATCTGATGACTGAGCACTGCAATCACTCGAGTCGTCAATACGTCGTCGACGACGTCGGTGACCATCTTCATGATGATCTATATATAACTTTAGTCATGAATAAAAGTAAGGAGCTCGAGCTTACCCTCCAATATAGTATTGATAAGACTTTCAAAACCATCCTCATCTTGACCATCTTGATCGATTACCTCAGTCAACAATGATTGGGGTGGATGATCTTCAATTTATTAGCAGGTGTTACCACGCAACTTAACGCTTTCATGATACCACCCCACCAGTCGTCATCGTGCTTGCGCCTCCAAATGAATTCGACCAGTTTCAAAGGCATCATCTTCTTTGTTACGTGTCTAGCGCCATTGACATTTGCTTGATACCATTCCAAGTACCTAGCAGAAGCCTTTGGTTAGAAGGAACAATGACAGAACAATCAAGTAACATACCTTCAATCGTGTTTGTATGATGCCATGCATGTTTCAACAAAGTTTTTCGAATGGTTAACGGGAAAATGAACATAATTCATATCAGGTATTTCATCAAGACGATTGTATCCTGACCAGCAATCGGTGTTGATGTAGGGAGTCTTTCAACACGAATCGCTTGGCAATCTCCTGCAACGATGTGACTTTGATCTTGAACCACCATCATGAATGCCTTGCGTTGCGGTGTGCGTTCAACACCGCCTACGACCCGAAACGCCATCAACGGGATGACCACGGTTATCCTTGCGTTTCCCAAACTTGCTTTCATCGATCTCCACGATAATTCGTTCATTGGTCTCGGGATCCTTTCCACCTATAATGCTACTAATTAACATAATGCATATACCCATATTGCCTTTACATACCAACTTTTACGTCATCCATAGTTAGATCTTGCTCCATGACATAGTGAGGCCTTGTACAATGGTACGCAATGTCCAGGCGTTCCAAGCCAGTCATCATCCCAGCTGGGTCATACGTGTACGCGCCATGAAAAGGTAAATCACCATAAGTACACGCTCTAATGGAGCCTTCAATCTATAAAAGAAAGAATCCAAACGTGTAGTTTTTTGGCTACGGTTGCAACAATTACGAAGAGGACAGCGCCAAACCAGACCACGAGCACCAGAACGACCAAGACGCATTGGGGTTCCATTACGGCATTCAACGACATAACCAGATTCCTCAGTATAGAAAACCGCTTGATCAAAGAGGTATCTAGTAACCATGTACATTAGCATCAAGATAATCTTAATAAATATTGCCTATTACCTGCTAGCTGCATCAGTGCTCTGCACATGCTCCCAAAAGGTCCAAAGGTTTGGCATGCTATGAGTATGCGATAGAAGTGGAATGGATGGGATTCTGGACATAGTTGAGTGAGTGAAATAAAAAAGTAAATGGACATGGGAGCATTTAAGTAAATAATCCCTTTTTATACTCTTTTGAAGAAGCTTCCGCCGCCACTAAACTATGCTATTTATGGTTAATGAATCTTACATAACATGGATCCGAGTCATTCCACCGAGTCAAAAAGAAAAAAATCTATATAAGGCAAGTCTTAATCATATAGACTTACTTTACCTCAACTACCAATTAAGGCGGTGGTTGCCCTCAGCTTTTGGATATGGATCCTAACACCAATATGTATGTTATGTGTTAGTGGCCATCATTCTAGCTTAGCATATGTATGGTCCCCGTTCGAGTCTCGGTAATATTTTACACAAACTCAATAAAACTCTTTTTTGAAAAAACTTCACAGGTGTCTACAATGTTTCTTTAATATCTCATCAATGCAGTGGTCCATCGATACCGGGTAAAGTGCAAAATGATTGTTTTTTATAGCGTTTACATCGGAGGTGAATGTTTGGACAATTGTGACTTGGAAAAGTTTTCTACATCGAATCTGAAAGGAATTGCACATTATAGTATATGGTATTGTGGAGCATATAATCTGATATAACAGCCTAAATTTCTGTAGCCATCCAAAACTCCGCGAAATGATTCTCATCCATTACCACATGTGGAAGACGTCGGTGTACCAAATTGGAGAACAATCTATTAACTAGGTCAGGCGCTACAAGCAAAAATGGTCATTGTCCAACTTTTATTTACAAAATAACCAATCGTTTTCATAGGCTCATCGCTCGCCGTACTATTGCAACATACATGTAAAGTGGTTGTTGCATAGATCAGGAAGCACCTAAAAATACTATATATAAATTTCACATTTGTGGGCATCGGCCCGGAGCAGCATTCCTGTGAAAAGGTACACCATCCAACTTTGAACATGAGCCTTACAACAATTGTGTGACCTCCGATTTTCAAATCACGATAGCACGTCCCACAGACCGCGCACATCTATATAATACATATCGCATGATTCACAATTGCCTGCCCTATTGCGTGATATACATACCAGGGTCCGACGTTACACACATCAAAAATTATTACTACAAATCTAGGTGAGAACGTATCTTACCACAGATCCAGAAAATCGATCGCTCGTTGCTGGTCATTTGCAAAAAGAAGATAAAAGTAAGAGACAGGTTGCTTGGTTACCACCCCGTTGCTATGGATTTATGTTTAATCGGAGCACAGTAGTTTAATTATATCATAACGCTAGTGCACAGGTGTATTGAATACCATTGTATATCCTTTTATGCCGTTTAAGATGCCAAATGCACCCATCCTTTATCACCTCTCAGTAATCAATAGTAAAACAAGATAGCGATTCTTTTTGAGCAGATGGTAAACGATATTAGGTCTCATGTATTACTTTATTTCATCCATTCGATGCCGCAACCACTATAGGTAAGCCAAGTAGCTAAGCTAACAATATACCTACACAAGTATTGAACCCAAAAAGGGATTCAACAACGATGCTCCGATCGACGCCAACACCGCTATATGGCTGTATATGGGTGTTGGACCCGTATACACTTGCGTAATGTCGTTGTGTAATGCGAATGTATTGTCCTCGAATTGAACTAGTACAATTTTGAATGCTAAAATTGCGGCGCCACAATTTGATGTCCTTGAATTGTACGCTAACAATTGCTATCCTACAATAAAGGATGATCTCATTAGCTACATTCTCTCCTTATCTTTATATTGAACCCCGCTTAAAGTATTACATCAACAATGAAAATACTCTTTGATCTCTTCGCTCCTGGTCAAAACTGCTCACAAAATCTGCCACCATCCATTCCTATGTCTGAAGATGGTTCTCATCATATACCTCCTTCTACATTGGACCATTAAGGATGATGGCACCTGTTT